TGGCCGGGCTTGTGCCTCCGGGAATTATAACCTGTAAGGCGACCGTGGCAGAAATGGAACTAAATGGAGGTAGAAGCAAAGAAGAACCGCTTCGATGACTGGTCGAATAAAAAAAAAGGCCACAATTACAGGAGTTGCACCTTCCACTCCTATGCAATGCAGGTACGGAACCGCAGTACGTGAGCCGCCGAGCGTCCGCCTACCCCCTGGCTTGGATGGGAGGTATAGGGAGATGTGTAAGTGATAGTACGGGCTACTATATACCTTGCTACAGTGCGCTTGCACTAACAGTTCATCATTTGATCCACCTCCTGCTCCACCACCCCTCTTTCCTCATTCGGTTTTTCGGCCACCGGGCGGCGTTCAATCTGATTTCACAGCTTGCGGTGGCTGGTCAGAGCGCTGTCTGTATCTCCTGTCCTTTGACTTCCTCGGCCAGACAGAAACCCCTGCCGTCCTCAGTACTCGGCCTTTCGAATATCAATCCATGATCACCGCCGCGATCGATCATTGCTACCCCACGAACCCGAATGCGTCTGCCTGCGACACCAAGCAGCACGATGTCGTCCCGTTTCTTCACGGAGCTGAGCACTTGTTTCCAGTCTATCCCATTGAGGCTGCCCATGCCGTTTTCCCCCTTGTTTCCCGCGCAGCCGAATGGTTCAAACCAGGGGATCGTACGTCGCCATCTAGACCGATGAGTTTCAGTCGATAATATTATCCCGGCAACAAAACGGCCCGGTTTGTTGCTGTTGGTAATCCGAGTAGCGCTCAAGTGGCATTGTAGTGCACTCACACGATCTTTCTTGCACTTGCAAAGTCTCTGGAGACCACGCCTAACACTGCGTTGTTTGCCCAGGCCCGGCTTTTAGGAACGTACCGACGCGACATACCACATCTCGAACCATACGAAACGCACCGGACTTCAAACGTTCGGACGGCAAGGACGAGACGAGACAACGTCGACAGACATCGTTGGGCGTCATAGACGGCGACACAAATGATTTGTCATGGGCCATAAGACATCAACACATTGATCAAGTCAGAGACTAGTCAGTGACCTCCGAGCGGGCCAGCCGTCGATCCAAAACTCGTTTCCGTGTATCACCCGAGAAAATCATGCCATATGCCCTGGAAATATGGAGATATACACAGAGTCAAGCTTCCCCCTCCACGATCAACGCCACACCATCCCCCAATCAAGGAAACAGCCCAAAGCAGTTCGCATAGTAACTAACCGTTGCGCTCCAGTCACTGAAGACACCAATCGCGCCGACCTCTCTGCTCGCGAGCACATCCAGCAACTCAAACACGACACCCTCTCCCCTCGCCGCTGTGGCATTCGCGATCGTCGAGTAATAATACCCGCCCTTGGTGCTATCCGCCAGCCACCCCGACCGCTCCAAGCTCCAGCTGATGACCTTCAACCCAAGCTTTTTTGCCTGCTTGGCGTACTCGCTCGCAACAACCTTGACCGTGCCGTCCTTGCCGGTGACAGTCGACACCAGATACTGGAGGGGAGGAGCCACGATCTTGACACCGTCCTTGGCGTACTTTGTCAAAGAAGCGGTGGCAGTAGAGATGGTGCTCGGCGCATCACCCGACTCGTCGAGCAACACAGCCTGCTTCCCGAACTTGGGCTCAGCGCGCAGCCAGTACAACACGTCGTCATACAGAAAGCTTTGCGGCCACACACGCTTGGGGTTGATCTTGGCCAGCTTGAACTCGTCGATCAACTGCTGGGCAAAGGCCTCCTGCGTATAGTTGGCCGAACCGAAAGGCATCTTGACCTCTGGGGTCTTCAGCTCCGGGGTAAAGTCCAATCCCAGCGCATCGACGATTGCGATGTACTCCTTCACCGTTAACAGCTTGTGGCAAGTGCCTGGGCCAGAGTAGAGCGTGGTGCGGTAGCTGGCTACGCCACCTTTGTATGCCTCCGGTGTCGTAGCCTTTGAATCAGAAGAGTCCATCTTTGCGCACAACCCCTTGGTCTGGGTCAGTTCCTCGAGGGTGAAGTCCGAGGTGCAGCACTTGGCTGTTGCCGATTTCTTGGTCGTGGCATTGTAGGGAGTGAAAGGGACGGTACACTTGGCGGCCAGCGAAGGGATCGTCAGGATGTTGGTGGTCGTGTGCAAGTCGCATTGCGAGTGCCGGCAGATGAGCTGTTGGTCCGAGGTGAAGGTTACGTCGCATTCGTTGATTCCTGCGCCCATTCTTGTCTGTTCCTTTCGTTCAGCATTACCACCCTCTTGCCACCAGTTCAAGACAGGAAGAGACCTACACCAGCGATGATACTCGCCTCCGTCTCCTCGGGAAACTGCAAAGTGCCGCCGCCGCGGTGGCCGATGCTCCAGCGACTTGGGCGCATTTCCTTCTCAGAACAGGATTGGAGCTTCGTCTTGAGGGGTGAGTCCTCCATTTGGTCGACCAACCAGTATGGACGGGGGCCGAGTTGGATCTTTTTGATGGGCTTGATACCGGTCTGGTCCTTACCTGGTCCGCCATGGCTGGGAAGGGCGAGGGCTGGTGCTGCGAGGGCTAGCCAGCAGAGGGAGAGGGTGGAGGGCATCGTGCCGGCGGTGAAGAGAAGGGCGAGAATGAGGTGACGAACCAAGGATGGGGCTACGATGGGATGCCCGCCGTTTATACCCCGACATCATCACCGCGACTACCTTTCACCGGATCAGCAAACTCCACGTTCAGGCCCATGCTGCTGTTACAGTACCAAGTGCAATCGTTCCAACTATCACCAACACCGAAGCTGGCGGTGATCGACAAAGCAGCCAGTATCCGGCGTATCCCCGGCACGTGGGGTTTTCGTTGCTCTCCAGCTTCCGTATCATTGGAGCCAATGGTGTTGAGAGAACCCTTGTAGCGTGGGATGATGGCAACCAAGTGTCTTGGTTACAATGCGTGGTGCAATTGATCAATGTGATTGGTTGGTCGCTGACACGTGCTGACCATCTGCAGAGGAACAGTGATCTTATCCATTGATATTATCGACGGCCCCTGCATTGAATTGGGAAAGATTATGGATGCCAGTGAGCCTTTGCAGGCAAAGGGAAGTCGATGTGTTCCTGGATAGGACGGAGGAGAAAAGAATGGTTTGAGGTCCAGACAAGGACCGTTGTCCGTTGTCAAGGTGACCTGACCCATCTTGCCATGTCCAGACCTGCTTGGCACACCGCATCCGTCCCTGTCTTCGCCGTGGACATTCCTCACTTTCCCCTTCTTTCCTTCAACTTAAACCCCTTCTCAAGCATCACCCTCGCTCCCTCAGCCTTCACATCATTCACACTTCCCAACTTCACCCACGTATCAACCGCCATCCTCGCCTCCTTCAGCGCTTCCCTCAGCGCTCCTTCTCTATCCACCTTCCTACCATCAGCACTCCCTCTTTCCGCCAGCAGAAGATACAAATCCGCCATGATCCCATGATATTCACCCATCAGCGGCATCAGCCCTTCCAGTTCCGCGAAATCGAGCCAGTCCTTCAGAATGTTGACTGCATCTTGGTAGAAGCCTTCGGACCTGGCGTGGAGCATTGTGTTGTAGAGCTCGGCCAGGTGCTGGAGACGGGAGTGGGATTCGGCAGCAGGAGTATTGGCTGACGGGTCATCGGACAGGGAAGTACAAAGGGGGCAGTGACATGTGAAGTGGTAGTTTTGCTGGAGGTGACGGTGGCGGTCGGATGGCGGAAGGGTAAGGGGGGTGTCTGAGTGTGTCAGCTTTGGATCTGGATGGAGACTTGGGAAAGGAAGAGCGCGCACAGCTGATGAGAATCTCTTCCCCTGAAGAGATGGGGCGGTAAGAAACGACTTCCATGGTGAGTTGCTTCTCAGAGAAGCAGAGGCGTGCACTGCAAGCTGTTAGCTTCCTTCGACACCATCGGGTGAGACAGGACTTTGTCGTGGTAATGGACTCACTTTGGTCGGCAAGAGTGGTTAATCCGCTATCACCCAGTCAGCCTTCTCGACCCAGAAACCTACAGGGTAAACATACCGCAACCTCAGTGAACAGCCCTGTCCGCTCCTCACCCTTGAACCACTCCTCGTCCTCCAGCAGTCCCAATGCCGAGCTCCCAACGCCTCCCAACCCTTTCACATTGATCCCCAATAGTGCATCAACCTCATACATCCCGGGTCCCTTTTGCAAACCCATTACCTTCCGTCTCATGCTCTCCGGTAGTTGCTCTAACCCCCTCTTCACCATTCGTCTTCTCAGGTGTCCCTTACCCTCTTTCCCGGTCTTCCTCAGGAACTCTTGACTGACCAACAAGACTGGAACATCCACCATGATGATGTCCCCTTGTTTTATAGGCTTTGTAGCCACGACACCTTGTCCTTTCCCTTTTACGTCCGTTATTCGGTACGGCTTGTCCATGGTCTTCCGACCACCGGCACCAGTCCACTTCCGAGGAGCCGGAGCATCATCAAAGACCCCCATGCCTAGTAGGTTTGCGGCTGTGATGGGTGAGACGATTAAGCTTACTCCCTGCCCGTTGCGAAACTCCCGGGAGGTGAAGAGGCAGTAGACTTTCTCGGGCGTGCTGGATCCGGGTATGTTGTCTTCACCAGTCGCTGGCCCAGGCAAAGGCGGCGAGGAGGGCGAAGATCGAGGGTGGGAGGTTGAGGCAGAAGATGCAGATGAGAAGGATGAGTTTGAAGAGATATCCAGTCCAGTAGATGAAGGAGAAGAAGACGGCGGGGAAGAAGATGAGGAGGAAGAGGACGATAACGAGGTAGAAAAGGCCATGCATTTCGGCGGAAAGGACCAGGGCAGGTTGAGGTGGTATATGTCAGAATTGAGATCGGAGGAGATGCCTAGTAGATCTGGAACGGGACAAGATCCTGTATGTTTTGATGCCACATGGCGTTGGAAGAGGTTGTGGTTTGGGCATCGCAATAGAGGATGGGTGATTCTCGTAACGTTTGCTGTGCTGGTTGCGGTGGTCAAGAAGAGTAGCGAAGCGACAAACGACGTCCATGTCAAACGGACCGCGTTGCTGGAGAAGACCATGTTGACGGGTAGTTACCTTCGTTGGAGGCAGAGGTTGTCAATGGAATGGCATCTTGAACGCTTCGTGCGACAATCAAAAAGACAAAGTGGCCACGCATCATGTTAGAGATAGCGTTGCATTGACCCATAGCACGGTGATGTCTCGCTTCAAAGACTACCTCCGGGTTGCTGATCGGAATAGCCGACGGGTAAAGGGGCTTTTCGCGTTTGGGCTTGGAATAACAGCCAGGCATAGGGTGTATGATTGACGTTTGTTTGGATGCTCCTCAGGCGCACGATCTTGTAGGATGAAGTTCTTCTGAGGTTTCGTTTCATCTCGTTGGAATTTGCGATGTTGTGATGGTGTTGTTGAGGTATGGACGTTCGTTCCTTGGACCACCCGGCCATTGATAAACCCCCGATCTTCAGCTCACAGGCATGTCAGCGAGGTGTATGGTGCCACAACCTAATCGTCCCGGTCATCGTTCCAGCAACATGACCATCAAGGGAAGACAGCCACGGTAAAGGTCGCATATGCGGTCAGTATTGAAAAGCTAATATTCCCCAACGCGGACTCGACAGCTCGATCGTGTCACCGAGGGAGTCACAACATCAGCTTGTAACCCAAGGAAGCAATATCGGTCACAACCTGCATGATGCGTGGTACTAAATCTCCATCTTGGAAGCTTGGGTTGCGAAGGGCTGCCCTTGTGGAAGGGGGAGACAACGGACGGGAATATAAAAGGGAAACGAGATGCTCAAGCTCCTTGAAGGTATGATAGAACCTCTTCCACACGACTTGCCTACATCTAGAAAGATGCGTTCCCATCTCTTTCTCGCTGTGATACCCTTGGCATCAGCCTCCCCCTTCGCCTCTCATGACAGCCAACTGACCATCAGGGACATCTCCGACTTCCCATCCATCGTCTTTGAATCCCGATACAGACGTGCCAACACAACTGCACCTCGGTGCAAATCACTCCCAGGAGACCCAGACTGGCCCAGCGATGCCGAGTGGGATCGTCTGAACAGAACGCTCAACGGAGCCCTGCTCAAACCTCTTCCACCTGCATCCGTCTGTTACCCTTCGTCACCGAAATACAACCCTTCTGCCTGCTCTACCCTCTTCACCAAGGCGTACTATCTCGACGATCCAGTCAGTCCTGCCCAGCAATGGACGACCGGAAACACTTGTTTGCCGGCTTGGAACCTGAATTCAACGGGGAACTGGAATTTGACCTTGACCTGCACACAGGGCGGGTTTCCGGTGTATGTCGTAAATGCAACTAGCGTTAGGCATGTCCAGGCGGCGGTGAACTTTGCTCGAAACAAGAACATCAGGCTGGTGATCAAGTAGGTGTCCTCCGTCGGGTGTGGAGTGGCACTGACAGAAAACAGAAACTCGGGCCACGACTTCGTAGGCCGCAACACCGGTGCCGGCGCCCTCTCTATATGGACGCACCACCTCAAGTCTTTCGAATTTCTCCCCGAGTATGTTCAACGCGGACACAACCCCCCGTACTCGGGCCCAGCTGTGCGAGTGGGAGCCGGAATACAGATCAAGGATGGTAGGGCCTACTCCGAAAAGTATAACATCACGCTTGTGGGTGGGAGTTGTGCAACGGTCGGTTCGTTCGGGGGGTGGCTGGCAGGAGGAGGGCATTCGGAGTTGAGCTCGATGTATGGACTCGGCGTGGATCAGGCGCTGGAGATGGGAGTGATCACTGCGGATGGACGGTACAGGGTTGTTAGCGCAGAGTCAGAAGGGAGGGAAAGGGAGCTGTTTTGGGCGTTAAGAGGAGGAGGGGCAGTAAGTATCGTCCTGGAATATTGTTAGGCTGGGTGAATGTTGACGACGAGCAGGTACTTATGGCGTGGTAACCTCCGTGGTCGTCAAGGCACATCCGGCCATCAATCTGACCATCGCCGACTTTTCGTTTGCCGTTCAAAACTCGACACCATCTACCGGACCGATCGTAACGATCAACGACACCGAAGCCTTCTGGCGCGGCTTTAATGCCGTCTACGCCTTTGGAATCCCCACCGTCGACGCAGGCGGCTACCTCTGGACCCAGGCCATCTCCACGGGCAACGGAAGCTTTGTGATGCAGGTCAAGGTGCAAATGCCAGGCAGGACGATAGCCGAGACGATGAAATTCGCACAACCTTTGTTTGCAAAGCTTCAGTCCCTCGGGATCCCGGTATCATCGGCCACCATCACGACGATGGTGTATGGCGCTCCCCGTTTCGAAGCCGAAGGCCCTCCATCGAATATGCGCTTCGCGTCCCGTCTCTTCCCCCGTTCGTCCTTCAACAGCACCCTCTTCCCTTCCACCATGTCTGCCATCCGGATAGCCATCGAAGCCGGCTTCTTCTTCCATGGCCTCAACCTCTCCCCCACCGTGCGCATGGGTGAGTATTCTTATCCCTCGGCTGTAAACCCTGTGTGGCGCGAGACGGTGATGCACGCGAACTTGATGCGTACGACGATTTTCGCAACGTCGACGGCGGAGGAAGTGGCGGCGGCACAGAAGCTGTTGCAAGAGTACATGAACGCAATTCGGGAGGCGACGCCGGGTGGAGGATCTTATTTGAACGAGGCGGATCTCGAGGAGCCGGACTGGCAGCATGCGTTTTGGGGGAGCAACTATGCGAAGCTGGTAGATGTCAAGAGGGAGTGGGATCCGCTGGGGGTCTTTTGGGCGCCGGCAACTGTAGGGAGCGAGGCATGGGCGGTTGACAGTCGAGATGGGTTAAAGAGTCAGAATGGAAGGCTTTGTCGGGTTGGGTCGTGATGGTGGGAGAAAAAGAGAGTGAAGGCGGGAAAGGAAAGGCGACGGATGAAATTGTCTTCGGATGCCCGGCGGGTCGTGACGCAGGGCCGTGCCTTGTTATGGGGGACAAGCTTCATTGTTAGCGTATTATAGCGGCCCGCGGCGGGGCTGTTAGCGGCCGGACGATCCACCCCGCATTTGGGCACTTCTCCCCGCAGTTGTTCATCTTGACTTCATCTTTCCCTTAACATCAACCACCCACTTCTCGCCGGTCTCTCAAGGCCAATGCAAGGCTTGAGATTCGTCACTCAACGTAATTCTCGGATGTGACATATCCTCTCGCAGCAATACCCTACGCACGCTAGATTCCCTTTTCGTTGTTGTGTTCGGCGGATGGTCTGGTTCTGGAAGGAAGAGGGTATTGAACGAGGGCCGGCCCGCCTTCTTCGACACGACGAACTTCCACTTTCTCTCGCCCATGGCACAAACCGCCTGTCATCCCTTCGACAGACTCGACAATCAACTTTCGATCTCGGACCACTTTCGACATCGCCGGGCAAATAACCACAGGTCCCGTCTTCAATTCTTCCATCCCTTGTCAAGATGGCATTTGGAATCCCTATACTGACCTGTATCTCAAGTCTTACAGTGCCCAACATGCCCGCTATCACCGTCAGGTTTCTCGGCCTCGCCGCCCTGTCAGCCGTCATCCTCCTCAACATCCCCAATACTCGAGCCATGATCCACATCGGCCATTTCTTTTCCGGCCCGTCGCTGACACAAGCCGATATTGCGTCGACCAGAGGCCAAGACCAGTTCATCCCCAAGATCATCCACCAAATCTACCACAACTGGGATGACCCAAGTAACGAGACCGCTCCCGACGACTTCGATGCCACGCGTCAAAGCTGCACCACAACAAATCCCGACTTCGAGTACCGTCTATGGACAGCCAATTCCTCCCGCCAGTTTATCGAGACACACTACGAATGGTTCCTTCAGACTTACGACTCATATCCATGTCATACCCAACGGCTCAATACTCTTCGCTACTTCCTGATGCGCCATTGCGGTGGCATCTATATGGATCTCGAATACACGTGTTCCCGAGACCTCAAGCCCCTCCTCTACTTACCCTCGTGGGTCATGGGCCGCGGCCACGGCATCACTGGTGCGAGACCTGATCATCCTTACTGGATCATGATGATCGAATCTCTGATTCCTCGAGGACACCGTTCGATCACGCACAGCGGCGGCCCGGAGTTCGAGAGCTCCATCTGGAAGAAGTATCATGCACAGCTGCCCACCAAGCCTAGAAAGCAGGACCGCGTCTACCGTATCAAGATGGGTAACCAAGAGGAGGTCTTTTTCAAGTCGAATGGGCGATTCAAGCACGTCTGGGATGACAGCTTTGGATACGTCGCCTCGACCAAATCCCTTCTCGGGTGTCTGTTGCTCTTTGCCGTATTCACCCTACGGTTGGCACGCTCGTGGCAAGCAAGAAAGACGTATCAACGCGAATACCTGAAGCTGCTGCCGGCAAAAGATCAAGGGGGAGGATACGGGACGGTTTGAGTTCTGGTGAGTTATATTCGCGATCATATCCTGGTGCGCCCAATTCCCTCGCGTTAGCCCAACCCTTTTTTCTTCAAGATTCATCATGCACCCTTCTAGTACAGTCGGATACCCATCTCAAGAACTGATGTGGTTGTTCATTGGTCTCTGATGATTTTGACGCTCGCTAAGGCACGCCACAACCTTTTCCGTTCAGCTTCGGGGCCAATGGCGGAAGGAGTTTCACATCGAGGGCATGCCGTCGGGCTGTCTCCCGAGTAAATACATGGTGACTTGGCAAGGGCTGTCCAACAAACCAAGATCACTTTGCACAATTGGGCAAAGTATCTTTACTCAGTGCCCATCTCAGCACCCAAGCAGTGGAAGGTAAATTAATTCATCAAAGTCCAATTTGAGCGCATATAAGCGGCGTCATCCTCGAACTTACATAACTCGTTTCTTGATCCCACGTTTCTACGCCCAAAGACGAGAATCATCCGTGGTAGCATCATCATACTTTTCTTTTCACTGCTGTTACGCCTGCAAGATCCCTGACGGTAGACATGTCCCTCTCAGACGAATACGATCCTTTTTACGATTCGGATAGACGCGCAGATTTTTATATCTCTGAAGTCCAACAACCCGAACAGACCCAAAGCGCCACAGGCAAATCCGCTGGTCATAACACGGGTGGTCCCGTGTTGGAGACCGTCACCATCAGTATGAACGCCCTTTCTCTCGACGATCGGAGAAAAACTGTCGACCACATTATGCAATACTTTCGCCAACGTCTTAACAGCAAAATTGCGGTAACTCGTAACCGTCAAACCTCCTCGGCGATATCGAATTCTTATTTGCAGCGTCATCCGCATTCAAGTCAGTTTGAGAGCGAGCTGAACTCACTCAACCAATCGTCTAAGCTTTCTGAGGGTGATGTGCCTGTCGAGCTGTTGATTTTCCGTCAAGCCATCGGTCGCCCCTCTCCGAATGACCGGGTCAAGCCATTAGAACACGGCAGCCTACACCACGAATGGGGTATGGTCCAAGGAGCGTACGGCAACACTAAGACTTCGATCGCCACTTGTGCCCAGGCTACGACACATTCCGACAACCGAGGTAATAGGAACAACGGATCCAAGAAGCGCGGTGGCTCGGACGACAGCGACCATGATGGCAGGCGAAAGAGACAGAAGCAACAGCCCGGCAATACCACAAAGCCTGAACATTGTAACGGGCGCAAGTTTGCCTGTCCCTACTTCAAAAAGAACCCTCACAAGTATTCGAGATGGACATCATGTCCTGGACCTGGCTGGGATGAGGTTCACCGGGTAAAGTAAGCCCTCCCAGCATTTGGACAAGCTCTTCCTTCCCCGGCTCTCAGCTAAAGCTTGATTAGGACACATCTGTACAGACGCCACGCTCTCCCGATTCAGTGCCCTCGGTGTTGGGAAACCTACAATACACAAGCGTTGCTTACCACGCATTTAAAAGCCCCCGAGGTATGCCAATCCAGAGAAAATACCAACCCAGTTGAAGGAATCAGCAATGAGCAGGAGATATTGCTTCGCAAACGTACAAGGACAGACACCGAAGAGGAGAAGTGGCGGGAGATATGGATGATTTTGTTCCCTGGTGACGACAGAGACATCATTCCGTCCCCATGTGAGTGTTTCAGATGTTGATCTACCACACTACCTACCTACTACGTTAGTATCATGACCATGCTGACCCTATCTCCTTCAAAGATTATGATGAAGCCGTTTATGTTGAGAACTGCTCTGCCTTTGTTCTTCGAGAAGCGCCCGCACTCTTGGAAAGAGAACTCGAGGCTCTCCCTGATGAAGAGGTTCGGGATGTGAACCGTTTACGGCGGTCACTTGTACGGATGGTACCTGGGGTGCTATCGCGGGTGTTTGACCTGTATCGCCAGTCACTCAACAGGCAAGATGCAAGTAGTAGCGGATCGGGTACAGCGACACATTCTACCGCAACCCTGACACCAGCAACGGTACCAGAGCCAACGATGTCACCCCCAGCCATTCCAGCCCCAATAATACCAGAGCCAGCCATACCGGAGCCGGTCATAGCTTTTGACCCTAATGAGTTTGCCAATAACGCTCTCGAGTTCGTCCTGGGCACATATGAGTTGGAAGCCGATTCGGTTGATGATGGCATCAATTTGTTATCGGGTGTCGGAGGACTACCGGAACTGGATCTATTCCTGGGTGCCGTGGCGGAGTCTACTAGCTTCACAACCGGGTCTAACTTAGTCAACTTTTTGTGGGAAATCGAAGATATGCCGGGTGTGTCTCTTGGAGGGGGTCAAGATGAAAGCCTGTGCAATGATGATGCGAGTAAGGATCAATAGGCTCTAGTGGATTCCTCATGCTCGATTTTCAAAACGCCCATCTGTGGATAGAGGTAACGGATAATTAAATACGTATGTTTTCTGCCTGCAAACTAGGAATTCATAAAGTGTACGAACCAGCAGATATGCCCGCTTAACGCTATGTCCACAGCCCGACGAATCCGAAACTTAGTCCTCATGCTCAATCCCCTCCCTCAGAATAGCCACCTGCTTCTTAATCTCCACCCAAAGGACGTACTTGTCCAAATCCTCATCATCCCCGTCATCACTTCCATCGTCACTGCCATCCGAATCCTCCAGCGTCAGCCTCTCCCAATCATCCTCGATCCCACTCCTGGCCAGGACATCCTCCTTCTCCTTGGAATCCCTCGCAATAGCCAACAAACTCGCCACAAACGCTTCCTGGATGTAGGCAAAGCTGAAATCATTCGTGATCATGGCAATCTTCTTAGTCAATACATCCGGGAACTCGATCGCCTCGCTGCTCTTGAGCTTATTCTGCCAGAACTCGCAGTACATGACTCTCTGCTTGAGGTCCGGGTTGGGAAACAGGTACTTGCGGTCGAACCGCGAAGGACGCTTGCTGATGCCCGGGTCGAGACGTTCCAAGTGGTTGGTGGAACCGATCATGAAGATGCCGTCGTTGGATTTGAGACCATCGACCTCGTTGAGGAAGTAGGAGCGCACGTTGTCGGAGACCAGGGAGTCGAGGTCTTCGAAGATGAGGTAGCAGGGGGCCATTTGGCGGGCTTTGGAGAAGATGGAGGAAAGGGCGTATTCGGGGCCGGCGTACTGCGTTGCGTTTGTTAGCATCTCGATCATCTTTCGGGCAAGGGATAGGGGAAGAGGGACGGGACTCACCGATACCAAGCTCCTAACATACAAACTCGGCACGCTATCCTCCCTATCCAACAACGTCTTCATCATGGCCTTGATACTAATCGTCTTGCCGTTCCCCGGCGGTCCCCAGTAGATCACACCCCTCTTCCACGGCACCTTCAGTCGTCCATACGTCTCCCTGCTGTTAAAGAAGTTCAGGTGGTCCTCGATAATCGTCTTCTTCATGCCCTCGTCCAGAATTACGTTCCCCCAGCTTGCTGACTGGATGCTCTCCCACAGCTCTCGGCTCTTCTGCCACCACCCGCCGTCAAATACCCAGATCTCGTCCAGCAGCGAGTCGGACCATTTGCCGGCTGCCAGCAACAGTGACTCGGAGAGATGTAAAGATGGTGACAAGATGTAGTTGTTCTTCAGCTGGGGGTAGGCAGCGGCGCCATCACGTCCGTCGGCGATGTAGAGGATGAATTCCTTGTTTTGCCACTTGAGCATGTACTTGGCGAAGATGATGTCTTTGACCAGGAACCCCGGGGAGTTGTCGATACGGCGGGCGGGAGGAACGTAGTTTGTGGTGGACAGGGTGTTGGGGTACTTGTTGTCGGAGCCGAAGTCTTCGGTCAGCGGGGTGACGGTTGCGTGGCCGGCGGCGGCGAAACCGAGGAGGTTACTGGAGTAGAGGGGTGCGATGGTGAGTTCGAGGTTGCGGTATTGTCGCTTGAGAGTGGTGGCGATGACGCATTGGGTGTCGATGCGCCGGGCCGAGGCGTGGTTGAAGAACTTGGCGGTGGTCTTTTCCGAGTGGTGAGGAGGGGATGGATGGCCGTGGCCGGGAGGATGAGAGTGGTCCATGTTGGGTTCCATCTTGACGTTCGGCCGTGCAGGTGAAAGAGGTAAAGATTGTTGTCGAGCAGAAGACGAGGTGAGGTTCCTTTTAAGATCTGACGGGAAAGAGGTTGGGGATTGCGGGGAAGCGTGTTTGTTTGGTAGCCCCTGAAGATACAGCGATTTCTGAGTGGTCGGCTCGCGATGATAAACGGTTGCCCGGATGAAACTCGAAGCTGACGTGGAACGACGCGGGGATCCGAACCCGATTGAACGCGCTATGACACTTACAGGAACGATTGATCAATGGAAAGTCTTGATGCTTTTTGGTGAGGCGCAGCTGTCGTTGGAATACGGGATCTTCCCGTCGGTGGTCATTAGCCTGCCAAGGCCTGTCAAGGACGGTACCGACGCACTAACAAATCCAATGCTACGCTGAACATGGCCTCCCAAGACAAGACGATAGCGCTATCGTGCGAGACAAAAGGAGAGGTAGAAAAAGAAGACCCGAAAGAATTAACCCAATCATCTCGAGCCAGCAAACTTGATATCACCACTGTTCCACGTCTGGGACAATCTGGGTGTCGGTGTATCAGCAACAGCCAGCCTCTTGACCTCCTGGCCAACATCCTTGACAGCCTGCTCTGCAGCTTCCGACCACGCCGTCATCTGAAGCCAGCCATGTGTAAGGTTGTCATAGTGATGCCAACGAGTCTGTACTCCAGCTTTTGACAGCTTGTTTGCATATTCGCAGCCGACGTCTCGGAGAGGATCGTAGCCGGAGGTGAACACGGCAGCGGGCGGTTGGCCACGGAGGTCTTCAACGGATTGCATACCGGGGGAGATGTAACGGTCTTGAGGGGAGATGTCTGCCAGAACGATATGTTAGAGGGGTGGCAGAAGAGGAGACAGACAACGTACCTTCAGACCGCGGCAGATAGTTGCTCGCAAAGCTGAATATACCGTTGCATTCCAGGTATAGACTGGAGTTGTTCTCCATTGCTGCCGGCGTATCAAATGGTAGTCTGGCCTCCGGGTAGAGCAACACCTGTCCGGCCAGTGGCTTGCGGCCCTCGTCCATCCTCCTCAAGCAAATCGCCGCCGTCATGTTTCCTCCCGCGGAATCCCCTCCACCCAGCACTTTATCAGGATGTACTCCCCTCGTCTTGCCTCCCTCTCCTTGAACCCAGTCAATCACCGCCGAATACTCGTCCAGTTGTGTGGGGTACTTGAACTCCGGAGCCAGCCTGTACTCGACAGCGTAGACCTGACAACCTGACTCTTCGGCGACCAAGCGAAGTCCGTTTTCGAACTCATCCACACTCCCCACCGTATACCCGCCTCCATGGAAGTAAATCAAGGCCCCAGCTCTTCCCTTGTTTTTACTGTCCTTCCCACTTTTGGGATACAGCACCCTGATAGGGATCGTCCCGTGGGGCCCTCGGATGGCGGTAAACTCAACATGGTCAATCGGATGGATTTTGTTTTTGGGTAGGGCATGAAGTCCAAACACCTCTTGATGGCGTCGGCGCTCGACGGTAAAATGTTCTTGGCCGCCGAGCTCGAGGAGTGGGTGAACGGAGAGGAAGTCACGGATGGAATAGTGGAGGTCGCGAGCACGGGGGCCGACGGTGGGGATACGCGGGCCCACGGAAGGGAGGGTTCGGGTGTTGTTCTGGGACGTGGAATTTACGGGAGCTCTGGGTGATTGAGGGCCTGGCGGCGAGTTGAAGACAAATTGATTGGACATTTTGTGATTTTTGGTGATGATTGGAGCTGCCGGAGTTGACGAGTTGCACGAGAGGGGAAGAAGGAGAGGAGTCGTTCAGCCGTAGAGGTTCTCGGAGCGGGGCCTGGAGGGGCATTTATAGAAGACCCCCGCTGTAGAATGCGCTGCACATGCACCTGGTGCTAAAGCCGTCGGGCGGAGAACATTTGCAGTTATACATTGACGTCATTAAAGGTCAACAAGATGAACTTCTCTTTTTGTTCCGTCATCTCAATCTGAAAATTCAAAGACTTTCGAGACAGTCCATTAGATCACCGAGGTTGCAAGACATTCGTCGCACGTCCCAACCCCCCATCCCAGCCGTTGCGGGCCGAACCTAGATTCCACGACATGATAACATGGGATGGCTGTCTTCAGCTGAACGATGGGATTTGTTTACTTTCTTGTTTACATTCCTGGTGGCCCCTTGCTGCCATTGGATGTCTCTCTGCCTATCTCATCACGATGGCCTTAATACTTCCTTTTATAGACCTCCAGTGGTCTGACTGCCCGCTTTATCCCTCACTGCTCTCGACGTGGCAGGCTGGCGAGTCCTTGACGTGCAGGAAGCTATCGACAAGTCCCCATTTGGTGACGGAGAGAGCGCCGAATGATGGACATGCTCCACGCCTCATGTGCAAATTGATCTGCCCCGGGATTATCCCCAACCTCTTCATTCCGAGTCAGGGTGAAGACCGACACGATATATGAAGACGAGCGCCGTTTCTGAAAAGTCAACGAACATTGAAGACATCATCACCACAATGACAATTCAAAGTTGACTCAAGTCTGAAGTTTCCTCGCAACGACCGGGAGACGATACCTGCAGATTAGCGCCAACCACCAATCAGCTTCCATCTCTTACACGCCAATCCCACGCTGATTCTGCAGTGACCCTGTCGCCATTCGCTGCATTGTCCCCCGAAAGCGCCCGTCCAACCGTGAATTTCAGGCTCCGAGATACAGTACCCCGGCGCCAGGATGGCTGGGCGAATGCGCTACCAAGTTCGTCGTCTTGCTCTGCCGACCTCTTCGACAACACATCAGTCATCATCAGGATGTGAGGCCCGAACCTACACCTGCACCGCGACCACCACCTACACTGATGCCGACTACGGATACGGCTGGTATCAGTTCGGAATGATGCCGCCACAGATGGTGCAGCCGCAATTCATAACCCTGCGGACAGGAAGCGCAAAGTCGTCCGTCGTCTCCAATGCTTCGAGTGCGACGTCCACAGCTTCAAATGCGAGAGATCCGAAACCCACCATCAAAGAGGCTACCGCCACCGCCACATCAACGCCTTCGTCAATCCGAGACACAAGCCGCTCTGGTCTCTTCTGGGATTCCACCGGCCTCGACGTCGAACCCCGCTGGGCCCGGCAGCCCGACATCGACGCCATCGCCCAAGTCGTCCGTCGGCACCTCGGAATAACCACCCCGTCAAAATGCATCGTCACCTTCCATTCCTCCGGAACCTACAACAAGTTCTACCATGTTCACTCCCCAGTTCATGGCCGGTACCTCATGCGCGTCATCCTTCCCGTCGATCCCCACAACAAGACCCGCGGCGAGGTTGCCACCCTCCAGCTTGTACGGCGCAAGACCGACATCCCCGTTCCCGTTGTGGTGGCCTATGACGATACGAGTGACAACGAGATTGGGTTCGAGTGGATATTGATGGAGCTGTTGGAAGGCAAGCCGGCACACCTGCGATGGAGAAAGATGAACATGCGGCAGAAGGAGAGGTTGGTGGGAAGGATGGCCGAGTTCCAAGCACAGCTATCAAGGTGCGGAAACATGACCGAGTCTGGGTTCAGAGGAATAGGCACGCTGGGAGCTACTTCCAGGGGAGAGAGCGATTATGTGGACCTGATGATGCCAGAGCCGGGGCCCATGGTCTCGCCGGTCTTCTTTACGGGAGAGCGCTGGCATTATCCGGTATCGAGAGGGCCATTCCAATCAAGCCACGACTGGCTTCGATCCTACCTCAACATCATTATCAAGGAGCACAGCGCCGCTCTGTCTCAACCACAGCCCCGAACCCCCGACGATGATAACACGGACCACGAAAAGAGGGAATTGGCCGAGGGAGTCACTCGCGTCGCCCGCAAGCTCACCCGCCTCCTGCACAAGATCTTCCCGCAGCTTGTCCACCCGCCTGAGCGCACAGTCCTCTGGCAGGGCGATTCCCTATCACTCGATAACCTACTCGTCGACGAAAACGGGTGCATCACGGGTGTTGTGGACTGGGAATGCGTGTCGACCATGCCGCGGTGGGTATCTACACAATTCCCGGAATTCATGCGGGGCGAGGTTGAGCGTGAAGACGAACCCCATCGAAGCCGGTATGCGGATGTCTTCAGCGATGAGGACGCCTCGGAGGACGAACAGGGTGATGGGGTGGAAGATACACCGGACAATGAAGGCAAGACGGAGCTGTATTGGATACACCTGATGGAATACGAGCAGACGCAGCTGAGGAGGGTGTACAGCTCACGAATGAACCAGCTGATGGGTAACGGGTGGGATGGTGAAGTCGAAGAGGCAGCTCTCAAGGTCGACTTTCTGAGCGCGGTATCAAAGTGCGCGCAGGGCTTCTATCTCAAGAGAATCGAACAATGGGTGGACGCGGTAGAAGCCAAGGAATTCGCCAGGTTGGGGGATGTGTTGAGAGGGAATGTGGTGGGGAGGAAAGATTCGAATGCGTCGACCACTTCGGGTCCGGGCACACCTTCGACAGACACCAGGACAACACCGGGGAAGACGATGATAAGGACAACAGCTACATTGAGCCCAAAACGGGGAACGGAAAATCAGCGGCCACGATTTTCCATTACCAAGATCTATTGATACCATTTTGAGATACCAGAAAGCTTTCATTTTGTTTCTTTTGTCATTTGCTTGTCATTTAGCCATGTAGCGTTCATGTCATTCTCGTTTGTCGATCTCTTGTCTTACCGGATTGCCAATTTGCATCTCGTCCCCATTTGTGATTGGTGTCTTGGCGTTTGTTGACACCCCTTTTGCTCCCCTTTCCCCCACTTCACCGTTTCTAGCTGGCGGTGAACGCGGTGTACGAAGGAGGTAATTACACCACCACGAGATACTCCGAGAAGCTATATCCATCACAGCAGCAAGTGGTCAGTGCATTGGAGCTTGTTCTTCGCTTTACCTTCTAGCGATTCTAGCTCATGCCTATCACTAGCCAAGCGAAACAAGCATCATCCCCACACTTCATATCACCAGATCCTCCCGATGCTTGCCAAGGGCAGAAAATAGACACAATCGTTTTGAGCCTCAAGGACGATCGACAGTGTAAGCGGAATGGCCCGTTGAGATACGAGATGTGAGTGGTGGTTAGGGGGAAAGGGGTGTTGAAGATGCATCGTGAACCGGGTGATCACAAAGATCTATAAGATCCTTCATCCTTCCTCTGTTTCTGTCCATCTTTTTCTCCTCATCATCACAACAAACAACAACAACAACAACAAAGCCAAACCAACTTTACCACACTCCTTTTACCAAAACAACCACCACCAAAATGCAGTTCTTCGCCACCATCTCTCTCCTCGCCGCCGCGGCCGTTTCCTCCGTATCCGCCGCCCCTACTGCCAACCAGTACTCTGAGGTTATGGGCAAGGTCACCTTCTCTCTGGATCGCCAGTGCCCCATCGACCAGATCAAGTTCCCGGCCATTGAGTTCCCCGCCGGCTCCGAGAGCAACCACTGCCGCACCTTTTACGCCGGCGCCGTCTACCAGTCCATCGACCTCGAGTTCTTCGACCCTAAGTGCCAGCTTACCGTCTACAACTCGTACAACTGCTCCGACAGCGGCATCGTCAGCGGCACTGGTGGCTGCTGGAGCCCCGAGGGTGGCATCAAGGCCTACAAGGTCACCTGCCCCTGGAAGTACTAAGTCTTTGGTGAGTGCATGATCCTGGACAAAGAAGTGTAAAGGATACGGGCTAACAGGAACAGACTGGAGTTCGGTGTTGAGGAGCAGTGCCAGGAAGGGGAGAAGTGCGCGGGGTGTCCCGAGATGTTGTGGAGAAGAAGGAATAGGACGGTGATAAGGGGATACGGGGCAACTGGAGTTGGGAAAGGGGAGTGGGAGTGGGAGTTCGGGTAGGGGTTGGGAAGGAGGAGCAGGAGGGGAAGGAGTTTGGGGACGGTTCGGCGATAGGGCGAACGGGGGCACTGGCACTGGCACTAACACCAACACCAACAAACAACTGCATGGAGGCGCGTGGGGGAACAAGTACACTCTTTAATCACTTTTCTCTGTAAATACAACAACAACTCGAACATCTAGAAGCCAAACAATGGATCATTCTAGACATCGACAAGCATTAATCAGCCTGGTATCACAGGACAGCAATAGTCCAGCGTCTTACACAATGACAGAGTGAGTACAGCGCACAACCGCACAGCGCACTAGCGGCCTGCCGGGTGGGCCCGGGGTCTCCACGTAGGCTACCTACCTACCCCTCCGAAGATCCGGCCCATCTTGCCGTCTCCGGACGTGGGGTCATTGTTTTGTATTTCTAAGCCGCCGAGGAGCGAAGTACACGTATAAGAAGGTCCGAGCCTCCGTTTCTCCTTTTGTCTTTCACTTCTTGGTCTCTTTGTCAACAACAGCCTTCTCAGTCCAGAAAACCAAAACCAAAATGCCCACCTACGTCATCACCGGCTCCAACCGCGGCATCGGCCTCGAGTTCGTCCGCCAACTCACTCAATCCCCAGATAACACCGTCCTCGCCCTCGTCCGCAACCTGTCCAAGGGCCATTCGGATCTCAAGGCCCTCGCCAACGAAAAGACTCACATCTTCGAATGCGACACCTCCTCTCTGGCTTCCATCCGCGATTTTGCCAAGACCGCCCGCTCCACTCTCGGAGACAACAAGATCGACTACGTCATCAACAACGCCGGCATCAACCTCTCCAGCCAAAACTCGTCTTTACAGTTGGCCCCTGATGACTTGCTCGAGACCATCAAGACCAACGTCATCGGTCCCGCGAAGGTGGTCGAGTTCTTGCTCGAGCAGGGCGTGCTCAGCGACAACGTGAGGGTGCAGAATACGAGCTCTGGATTGGGTTCCATCAAGAGGACGGCGGATAGCGAGGAGAGACAGTGCGCGGGGTATTCGATCAGCAAGGCGGCGTTGAACATGTTGAGCGTGCATTTGGCGGCGGATCTCAGAAAGGTGTTGAAGGGTGCCGTGGTCATCATGATGTGCCCGGGGTGGGTGAAGACGGATATGGGTGGTGAGAGCGCAATGTTAAGCCCGGAGGAGAGTGTGAGTGGGCAATTGAAGGTGTTGCAGGGACTGAAGGAGGAGGATACTGGCAAGTTTTATCAGTATTCCGGGGATCAGTGGTCTTGGTAGATGGGGGGATGATGGTAGAAAAGCATGAAGAATTGCATTCCACCTGGCATTGGCATGTGTTGAACGATGAATGACAGGACGCTGCTCGTGCTCGCCATGAGAAACCAATAGACCCCATCATCTGAATCCCAACAGTCTCTCCCCTGCCAAAAACCACAATGGCCGTCAACAGAACCTGCAATATCACTGTCCAAATCCCAGAAGAGCCTGACCACTTCTTTCCTCGGGCATATGGCAAATTACCCGCCATAGGCCCAACCATCTTTTCAATCGGTACAATCCCCTCCTTCTCCCCCGTCTTCCTGGCCACTTCCATACTCGGTAATCCATCCAAGCTCCAAGCATTCTTGTACGCCCAGTATCTGTATGCATCCCATTAGCACATCACCATCTACATCTCACCACCCTTTCCCTAAAGGTTGACTCACCGTTGCATACTCTCCTCACTCACCCCCTTCTCAGCCCTCTCCACCCTCTTGCGAAAAACCTCATTCAACACCTCCCTCCTCTCCCGAAACTCCATCACAGGAACCGCAAACCCACAACTATCGCCCACAAGCTCAACCTCCACAACCACCACGCTTCTGGCTCCAGGAATGACTTCCACCCCTTCCTTCTTCGTCCACTCCTCAAACTCTTTCGTGCCATTCTCCAACACTTTGCCCCTTCCAAAAAGCCGGACAATCCTCGGTGCTGCTTTCCGGAATTCACAGAACATGACCGTAATCCGTCCATTGCCCGGTTCGTAAAGATGGGAAATGGTTTCGGATCCGGAGCCAGAGAGGTCCAGGTACCAGAATTGTGCCGGTTTGCGTGGATCGGAGTCATGAGAGGGGATGTAGCCGAAGGAGTTGATGTTGGGAAAGGTGCCTTTTGGTGAGACATTGATATGTCCTTGGGGAGAGAGGGGGGCGGTGGAGACGAAGAAGACGGGTTGGGAGAGGATCCAGGGGATGTGAGATTGGGGAAGGGTGGTGTGGAATTTGCCCATTGCGAATGATGTGGGTTGTGGTAGTTGTGTTTTGATAGCGTCTGGGTAGAGAAGACCAAGGTTGATCCCTGATTAGAATTGGGCACTTGTGGATTAGGGTGGTTGTTTTGGTGATGGAGTCATCCGGAGACTGCATGGAGATTGATTACATACGAAGATCAATGCGGAGAGCCGATCACGGAGGGGTAGTGCAGTCGGGTACAACCGTCCCGAGCCGCAATGGTCCAAATCGGGCTCAATCCCGTGCCATCATTGGTCATCGGACGGAAGTCTGTGCCGCATCAAGCCGCTCTGTTCGGGAGGAACACTGGATGGAATTTCAGCCAGTGACCACAGTCCTATCAGCAAACTGTCCTCGAATTGACTTGTCCAAGGTATCTGTATTCTATCCTTCCATCTATCATCTATCGTCTATATCCAAGCAAACATTACCATTACCATTACCATTATCAAATTCCCAGATAGAGACACGCTGTTCCGTTCTTCCTCCTTCCACGTCCCTACTTCCTCCCAACTCCCTTCACTCTAAACACATAATACAACAACACCGCCACCGCAATATCGAAAACGACATAAGCCCAAACAATGCCCCAATTCCTCCACCTCTCACTCCAAAAGATATCGACGTTCACCAAATACTGATCCGCCACACTAAAAGCACAGTACCTACACGACTCAGTCGCGTTCGGGTTCTGCAACACACCTTGCGCCTGCTGCATCATCGGACCCAGATACTGAGAGCACGACATACCCTGTGGCGGGTTGAAGGTCAAAGTCTCCTCGGCAGAGCAAGTGACGGAGCGGCCGTGCAGCATGGTGGAAACAATGCCACCGATCCAGTAGGTGAAGGGCGATACCCGATACATGAACTGCCAGAATCCGGGGAGAGCAATTCGGGTCTGCAAGACGCCCGAGAAGATGGTGGACATCATGGTCAACAAAATGACGATACCGGATGCGGCCTGGGCGTCGGGGAGGATGGCAATGGTCATGTGCGCAAAGGCGGAGGAGTAGACGAAGAGTTGGATCATGTACAGCAAGACCAAACCCTGGCGGTCCGAATCTTGCACGCCAACGACAGGGTAGTAGAAGCACGCATAGGTTAAGATGCCACACAAAACCTGGTAAGGCATCTCGACGAACATGTTGGCAAAAAGGAAGGCTTTCCAGGAGTACGTCTTGGAGGGACGTTCGCGGACTTCGTAGAGCGATCGCTGGGTGATGAAGAGAGGCTGAATCTGTTGCACCAGGGTGGTGAACAACGTGGTAATCATGAAGACGGAAAAGACGACGTTGCGCATGCCGGCTTGCGTTCCGTGGGGCTTGAAGAAGGTAAAGCCGACAAAAAGACCGGACATGACACCCAACAAGAGCTTGGCAATGACATAGGCAGGCATACGCCAGTATTGCTGGAAGATACGTTCGGTAACAACCCAGAGTTGCGAAGTGAAGGGCATGGCGAATTCAGAGGCGACGTAGCCCGGGTCGGTGGTTTGAGCGGGTGGTTTGCCGGCGGTGGCGGAGTGGATGTTGTCGAGTTCAGCCAGGACACTCTGGTACTCCGAGCTGGCCTTCCAGACAGTCGGCCATTCCTCTCCCTTATTGTTCGTACCATCGGCCACAATCTCAAGCATGTACTCGGCTGGGTTCTCTTGGTCACCGCAGGGGCGAGCGCCGTTGGACTCAAAGTAGTCAAGGAGGGTCTTGGAGTTTTGTCCGATCTGGCCAAAGTAGACGGTCTTGCCGCCGGGAGCCAGGAACAGGAGACGGTCAAATTGCTGAAAGAGGATGGCGTTCGGTTGGTGGATGGTGCAGAGGATGGCTTGACCGGCGTTGGCGAGCTTGCGGAGCAAGACGCAGATCGTCCAGGCAGATTGGGAGTCCAGACCAGAGGTGGGTTCGTCAAGGAAGAGAAGGAGCTTAGGCTTAGCTACGAGCTCAACGCCAATCGTAAGCAGCTTGCGCTGTTCAACGTTGAGACCCTCACCGGGAACACCGACGACGGCATCGGCGTAGTCTTCCATGCCGAGCATCTTAATGACCTTTTCGACGTAGTCGTACTTTTCCTGTTTGCTGACGGTCTTGGGACGACGGAGCATGGCGCTGAAACGAAGACTTTCTCTGACCGTTGCGGTCTCGAGGTGGAGATCTGTTTTCGTTAGCATGGTTCAAAGCACTTGGGATCAAGGGGGCTTGGGGTCAAGGGGACGGCCTACCCTGCTGCTGCACATAACCCGTCTGTCTCTGGAAATCCGCTCCAAATGGCGTCCCATTAACCAACATATCACCAGTGACCACACCCATCGTTGTCCGCTGAGCCAGCACGTTCAGAAGGGTCGTCTTTCCCGCGCCACTAGCACCCATCAGCGCCGTCAAGGTGCCGGGCTTGACCCATCCGTTGACATGATCCAACAACCGTCTTTGACCGCCCTGGTAGTCAATGTCGTACACCACATCCTTCCAGGTGAAGATATCCGTTTGGGGGTCGACCAAGCTCTTCGGATCCAGCGGTGCCTCCTGCTCCAGTTGACCTTTCAGGGCGGCATCACCAGACTTTTCAGCATCCTGGGCCTTTTGCTGCAAGCGAGCGGGGACATGACCCCTTCTGAAAACCAAGGCCTCGGCGGTGCTGGTGTTGGACGAGTTGAGTTCGGTGGCCAGGAAGTAGATAAACATGAAGCCGACCAGGAAAGCCCAGAGGATGCCAAAGTTGCGCCAGACGTGAGCATAGGTGTATCCGTAGGTGACCTTCATGTACATGTCACCAGAGACAGTCTCCCGTCCTGCCACAGCACCGGTACTCGCACAGATCCAGGACTTGCCGACGCGGTTCGGGTAAGGCGGGACAATACTCGAGCAAGTGAACTCTCGTCCGTGGAACTCGTTGGCGATGAGGATCTCGAAGCCGTAGAAGATGGGGTTGATCCACCGAATCCAGCCAAACCAGGGTTTCATCTCGGGCACAGGTACGATGTAGCCCGTGTAGATGATCAGAGCGAGGACTAGAACACCGGCAAGGGCCAAGGCTTGAGAGACGGTCTTTGTACTGGCGGCGATGGTCCGGAAGAAGGCGCTCATGATAAACGTCGACAGGTAGGAGACGATGAAGTACAGGAAGAATTGACCGGGTTCGCGGCGCAGACCGGCAAGGAAGTAGACCAGAATGTTGAAGATGGTGGCCGTTGCGAACTTGATCGGGATGTCTGCAACGATTCCGGCGGCAGCCTCGCAAGCGGGGTGATAGAAGGCAAAAGAGGCATGCTTCTCCACCATGGGTCGTTGAGCGTATAAAGAGTTGATCTCGGTGATGGCGGTCAGGGCGTTGAGTAGGATAGCCATGAAGAGGACGGACCCCTTGCCTGCAAAACCGGCCGTAGCGTCGGGGTTTCCGTAGAAGATGGATCCGATGATCAGAGCGAGGACGAGATTGGCGAACATCATTGTAAAGGTCGCGGTGCGGTCGCCCCAGATTCGCTGGTAGGCGCGGATGGTGCATGCTTTGATTTGCATGGCAATGCTGTGAAGATGCGGTTAGTGGATGATGGGCAGTAGGGTTATGGATTGGACGTACGAGATGGTATATGGCGACTTGGGCCTGACATGCTTAGCCTGTCGACGCTCCTTTTGCTCACGAAGCTGGGCAATAGCCTCCGTCTTGCGCTCACCACAGAACTGTTGCTCATAGTGCTCAATCTCTTCCTGCAATGCCTTGTACTCGGGAGATTCCCGCCAGTAACGCTCAAACTCTTCGACAGTACGAGGGACCTTGAGTTCCATGCCATGACGGGGCTGTCTTTCGTGAGGGTTGGTGACAGCCGTCAAGAAGTCACCAGTGGTCTGACGAGCGGGGCAGTGCCAACCCTGACGCTCAAAGAAGGACTTGGCCATGGATGCCGGACCAAAGTAGATCTGTCGACCTTCGTACAGCACGGTGGCCTTGTCGAATTCGTCGTAGATGGCTTGACTGGCTTGGTAGATGGCGACGGCGTGTGCGTGATTGCCCATGCTGGACGACATGCGCAGGGCTTGAACAAACTTGAGAGCGCTGGACGAGTCGAGACCGCGAGTGCTGTTGTCCCAGGCACAGATAGGACTGCCGGCAAGGAACATCTCGGCGATACTGTTGCGTTCACCGCCAGAGACACCCCGAATAAAGTCATCGCCGACCTTGGTGTGGTAGGTGTGACTGAGACCAAAGATGGCCATAACGACCTTGGCCATGTATCGACAGTAGTCGGCCCTGGACATGTTTTCGATGCGGGTGGCAGGGGTGCGCACGGTTGCTGCGAACTCGAGGGTCTGGCCGACGGTCAGATGGGGGAAATGCTTGTCGACCTCCTGGTTGTAGACGAGCTCGCCCTTGAACTCCTTGACCATTTGGTGCTGGGGAATGCCATTGTAGCGGACGGAAGCCTTTTCGTCGAGATGAAGACCGTGAAGCTCTCCGCAAATGCTCTTCAGAAAGGTGCTGCATCCGGAACCGGGACGGCCAAGGACAACGAGGAGTTCACCACTCTTGAGAAGGCCGTTGAAGTCGTGGAGGATCTGCTTGGGCTTGGTCTTGCCGAAAGAAAAGATCTCGCCAGGACGGAAGAGTGACATGAAGACATCGCTGACGGAAGCCTGCAACTGAAGCTCGGAGCCGGTACCGAAGACGCTGAGGTTGCTGAAGGATACACTCGGGTGGGCATCTTTGGCGTGGTCCTCGGGTTGAAGGTGGGTGATAAAGTCCCTTACCCACTTGGAGAGGTCGAAACGGTCACTTTCGGGGTCGAGCACGGGGTCCAGGTGGTTCTGAGCCGCGGGATGGGTTACTGATCGATGACGGGAAAGCGTGGTTGCAATTTTATGGAGTTCCTCGGTATCGGCTCCTCCCATGAACGAGTGGAGGCCGGTCTGGTCATGAGCTGTGGCGGCACTCTGGATGTCGATTTCGGAAGATGCTGTGGTACTCGAAGGGACTTCATTTTGAGGATGTGATGTGGCGACCCGGGGTGCCGGGGCACTTGGCTCGGCCATTTTGGTGTTTGTTACCTACTGGTGAAGCTTTGGATTGGTGAGTTATCGTGAGAATGTGGACATTGCCGTAAACAAGGATATATGAACAAAACACCATCAATGAGTAATAAGCAACATAAGCTGACGAGAGGAAGCAGAAGTCAAATACACTTGTAGCTGACAGCCCTATGGTATATATAATACCATTGGGTGACCCCGGTGCGTGGGCAGTTGGGTAATTTCTTGGTCCGTTGATCTCGGCATCACCAAGTGTTATCGGAGAGGTGCCGAGGTGTTATTGTGCCAGGGGAGAGTGGGTGAGAAGACTAACAAACAGAGGCTCTGTTCTTACCGGCAGTGGATCCGGTCATGGCTCCGAGCAGACCCGCGATGCCATCAAGACCGCCCGCGGCCCCCCACCTGGCCCACCGTCTTTGCACTGGCATCGTGATGTGTCGGCATCAACCCGACGCTTGTCAGGTTCTTCCAGGACCAACAGGGTCCGCCGTGCTCCATCCAGCTCGCGTGCCGAAGGAAATCGGGTGAGAAAATAGCGGACACTGGGAAGGGGTTTCAGCTTTCACATGCTTTCCCAGTAGCGGAGCAAACACCGCCGGCATGATTCCGACAAGCTGGACAGCGAGATAATGACAGAATGTGGTGACCTGAAGACGGCATCATCGACAGTGTTGGTTGTTGTCATTGACAGCGATCCATGGCCTGATTCGGTAGTAGTCAAGCGATTGGCATTCGGGACTTTGTGGCGTCGAAGCGGAAAGCTGATGAAATCGCCGATGCCGACGGATGACGGACGTTGGGCATTCTGGGCGTTCAGTTGTAATTAGTTGTGGAAGCATGAAGGGAAGTGGAACAGGAACACCGTTGGCTGGGACCGGAATTGGAAAATGAATCGAACGAACTGGTGGTTCTGATCTTATCTTGTATTTATCAGCCTTATCGGGTTTTGCCATCACTGTCCTATACTTTTACCGCCTATGTAGTCCGAGCGGCTGCTAAACGGATATGCTAAAAGTTCACCGGCGTCCACCAGTGCATGGCGGCACCTTGAGGTCCCGAACTCCTGGCAGTGCAACACCGAAGAGCATCCAAACCGCGATCACGATTCTCAACGGACAGACCGGAGCGCAGGGTCGCCCAAACACCGGCTTCCCAATCTTTTTTGCCATTTACCAATTGCCTGGCGCACCATACTATGATCCCTTCCAAGTCTAGTGTATGACTGTAATCCGATTTCCCCATAACAATGTTGTTCTCGACCCCCAAATCGCGGTCGTCGCGCCGTTGTCAATGGCTTCTCCCGTTTGCCGCCATCACCACCTCCCTAGCAACCAATGTCGCCGCAGCTGATATTGTTCCTCATGAGCTACCCTCCTACCATTATGGCGCTCCCATTCGCGTTGAGTGCATGAACCGCAGCTCGTAAGCATCGCGCCCCTTTTGTCCTTTCCTGATGTCATCCCAGCCGCGGTTCCTTTCGATCGCATACCTTTTCCTTTCAGCTCGTATCCCCTCTCGCAACCCATTTCTGCATTCCAAATAGCTTGCTAACCACCCCGTGACACCCAGAGAAACCGGCGAACACATTGAAACCCCCTCCCACGAAATCCAATGGATCCCCTTCCCCATCTGCGAAGAAACCAAAGCCCCCCTCGAGTTCAACTACGGCATCGAGACCGAACAGAACTGCACCATCCCCATGATCGACGACCCCTTCTTCCACCTCCTCGAATTCTACATCCACTCCGACGCTCCTCTAGCCTGCCGCCTGCCCGCGCGCCCTCCTCCACAAGTCGAGATCGTAGGCGAGAAGCCGCATGTCACCGAATACGTCCCGCTGGTCTTTGCGCTTGCTGGAACCCTGCAGCTGTCACATATGCACATCTCGACGCACATGAACGTGCTGTTGCATTCCACGCCGAAACATCATTTGCATAAAAAGGATTCGGGGGTGTTGGACAGCGCTACGGCTTACTCTACAAGCCCCCTGACGCACATGGAGGGTTCCTCGACAAGGAGATTGGTGATTGGAGACCCTCTACCGCTGCAGTTTTCTGTGAGATGGTTCCCGACGCCTGAGCTTCCGAGGGTGGAAGGAAAGGTGGAGTGGCAGGGCATGGGAGGACATATCTACGCTAGCACCGTGTTCTACGCCCTGGTGTCGTTTGGTGCGGGCGTGTGTGTGACCAGTGTCTGGTTCTTTGGAAGCGTGTTGCCCAAGAGGTTGAAGGGAAGAAGCTTGGGAGGAGCGACGCCTTTAGGTTACGGCGTGGGCGTGGGTAATGGTTGGGGGTATCAGCCTTCAAAGAGGGCGGATTAATTTGGTAGATGTTGATACGATAATGTAATGTTTCTTGCTCTTGATACCTGACGGGCCTGCGGGTCAAGCAGTCTACAGCATGAATTCGAAATTGTACGGCCTGTTGGTCTGCTGGCGCACACCTCGGTGTGGAATTGCAAATGCCCTTCGGTGATAAGACTGCGGGGGTCAAGGGTAGCTAACCCATTGACGCCAGCCGATTGGGCGTCACTGTCAGCTTTCCCCGGCCCTCCAATTTGGGAAATCTGGGGTCAACAATCTTTCTGACGCGCATCACTTTCTGTCTCTTGACAACCACCTCCATCCATTCGTCAAGACACCAAAGGACGTCTGGTACCGATCAACAAACAACATGGCCGTCTACAACGAATCCCGCCTTAACTACCTCTGGCTGGCGTGGTTCGGGCTGTCGATCCCCATCATTCTCTGTACGTTCCTGCCCCTCAGCACCCCCAAACCCCGAACCCCCAAGACAACCGGATCAGGAACCATATGCTCCTCCATTTCCTCCATATACCAAGCCCCCAATTGTCATGTCACTAACCACCCCCAGTAATCGACGCCCTCCCGCACTACCCTTCATCCTGGTCCTCGTCCCCCTCCTCGCCCCTGCACATCTTCCACCTAATCCGCCAAGACTACATCTCGCAATACAACGACCCGATAGTGCAATGGTCCCCATCCACCGCCGTTCTGGGCTCTCACGACTCCTGGATCGGTCTGTTCATGTACCTCGAGTTCGGCTTCTCTTTACCAGTGGTACTCTACGGATTCTTCAAGCTGGCTTTGTCCAAAAGAAGGGGCACGACGGGCGGCGATGAGCTACTTTTCCTTGTGTATGCTTTGGAAACGGCGTTGACTACGTTGGTGTGTATCTATGATGTCGGGTATTGGGATCCGGAGGTTCACTCGGTGAAGGTGAGGAGGACGATGGTTTTGCAGTTTTTTGGACCTTGGTTTTTGGTTCGTGAGTACAGCCTTTTCTTTTCCTGTGAAACACCGTTGAAAAGGTGAGAGATGCTAACAAGAGACAGCCAGCATTATGGCTGTTGATATGGCCAGGAGGATCCTGGGGAGGATCAAGGTTGCTGATGAGGCTATGGAGGAGAGGGAGAGGAGGAAGGCGCAGTAAACGGCTGGGCCTAGGATCCAGACTCATGTCGTGGTCCGATGCCATGCGGTGCCTGTTTCATGTGAACCGAGACACCTTGTCATTGAGACATGCATGGCATGCCCCTTCCATACCTTATCAACACCAATATAACCATTCACACGAGATTCCCCCGAAAGCATGGAGTAAAATATCTTTTTTGTCTAAACAGCATTGAGCTGCACCGGGGGTGGGGTATCAATCTACAACCGCCGCTTTCTTTTTGAGCAATTAGCTAGGTATACATATCCATCCAAAAACGAAAAAAAAAAAAATCCAACGTAAAACGCTTGTGTGTGTAAAAAGAAATTACAAGACATAGTCGCATATGCCCGCCCCTTCCCAACCCATTCCATCATTCCCTTTTTACCCATCATATCCCATCCCACTCACACTCATCCATCGTTCATGATCCGTAAGCGTACATCAATCCTTCCCTTCCATTATATCCATATCACGCCATCACATCATCACACATCTCTTCTTAACCCATGATACCCGTTCCAATCTTCTTCCAGATACTCGTAGGCTCCTCAACCTCATCGGGGATCTCGGCGTCCAGATCCAAAGATCCAGTGGTTACGTCCATGTCCTTGGCGACGACAAACTTACACGCCGCGGCGCCCCGGAAAATGAGCGTGAAGAGCTTGTGGCCGAAGTACAAGACGGCGAAGAGGATGAGCGAGATGTAGGCCACGAAAAAGTTCTCGGTGCTCCAGGGCATAAACGAGTCGAAGCCTTGAGTGAGAGTGATAAGGACGCAGAAGAACAGGGCATAGTAGGTGTAGTAAGGGGCGAGAGATGCGCGGTAGGGCAGCTTGGCGCGGGGGATGTTGTGCGCCTCGAGACCCTTCATAAAGCGGAGATGGGCAATGAGAATGCCGGACCAAGCGATGAAGCCAGCGACACCCGAAATGTTGAGAAGCCAGTCGAAGGCCTGGCCACCGTTCTCCGAGAGATTGAGGAAGCCGAGGAAGCCAATGACCGAGGTGGCAATGACGGCAACCCAGGGGACACCGGACTTGGTGGTGATCTTGAACCACTTGGGGGCCATGCCGTCGTTGGCGAGGGAGACGAGGACACGAGAACCCGAGTAGACGTTGGAGTTGGCGGCAGAGAGAACGACAGTGAGCAAGACGGCATTGATGATGTCGGGCAGGACCTTGACACCGGCGAGCTTGGCAGCAATGACAAAGGGAGAGGCAGCCGCAGTGTAGCCGCCGTTAGTCAGATCCTTGTTGTCGTAGGGGATCAGGATGCCGATGAAGAAGACGGTCATGATAAAGAAGAGGAAGATACGGTAGAAGGTCATGCGGATGGCACGGGGGACGTTGCGGCGCGGATCCTCGGTCTCACCAGCAGCGATACCGACAAGCTCGGTTCCCTGGAAGGAGAAGCCGGCCTGGATCATGACACCCCAGAAACCAACAAACTTGGCGACAGGACGGCTAGGGTCGAGAATCCAGGGAGCAAAAGCACCCGGCTCGTGCCAGTACTTGAAGCCAATGTAGCCCTCCTGACCGGCGCCGGCGTTGATGCAGATGCCGAAGATGAGGAAGCCGATGACGGTAATGACCTTGACCGAGGACAACCAAAACTCGGCCTCACCGTACCAGGAGACGGGGAACAAGTTGATGACAAAGATGACGACCCAGAAGATGGCGATGAAGATACCGATAGACAGCGAGTCGTTCCAGTATTGGATGATCAGACCGGTAGCGACCAGCTCGAGCGCAAAGGTGATGGCCCAGGAGAACCAGTAGATCCACGACATGGAGAAACCGAGAGAGCCGTCAACGAAGCGAGCCGCGTACGTGGTGAAACCGCCGGCAACGGGGATGTAGGTAGCCATTTCGCCGAGGGACATCATGATGCTGTAAACGATGGTGGCGATGAAGCAGTAGGCGATGAGGACACCAGCGGGGCCCGACTTGGCGAGAGCGCTGCCGGAACCGATGAAGAGACCAGTACCAATAGTACCACCTGTGTGCTTTCTGTCAGTGCTCTGAAGGCTTCTCTGCATCCCGGGGTCACCTACCAATGGCAATCATCTGCAAATGGCGAGACTTGAGCCTGCGCTTCAGCTCGGGGCCGGCGTTCTGCTCGGCAAAGGACGGTGCATCGTCATCGACGGCGGACTGTTCCTTGACACACTCCTTCTTGGTTGCGCTTCCGGGTGGCGTTCCGACACTGGAGGAGCCGGATGAGGGACTCGCTGGTGCCGCCGGGGGCGTACTTTCTCGCGCCGCCATGTTTCTCTATTTGTGTATAATATGTCTCAAATCGCAGGGCCGAAGGGTTCGGAGGCCGTCGGGCGGTGCGGCGGCGGTGGTTGGTTGTTGGTCTTTTGCGTGCTTCTCTCCCTTGTGTTCGGACGAAAAAAAGATGGAGCCGAAGATCGGACGAGAGGGAGGCTTCGGTCTGGAGTTGTGACGAAGCTGAGAGACAACAGAAGGAGCACCAGGCGACTGGAGTTGGACCCTTCTATACCAACTGCGTCTTTAAGGTTTCGACCGGCGCAGAGACTGTGCAGGAGAAAGTGGAATCGAGCAAGTGTTTCTAGTGCCGAAAGTCTGAGAGGTATGAGATCAGCAAAAAAGATAATGGGGATCAGAGGGGGTCATTGGGGTCTGGGGGTATTGACTCAGTTGTCTACTCGGACCCTGGTCAGAGCCTTGTCTTGCCTGTGTCGGAGGATGTGACTGGAGAGGCAAGACGGGACTGGACAAAAGCGTGATACCAGGTGGAGCCCGAGGGGGGAGTTGTTATCGGCAGACGAGGCCATCTGAATGGTGGACTTGGGGCCGGAGTTACGGAGTCTGATCGAGGTCAAAAAGTTGGAGCTTCCGTAGTGGGAACAGCGACCGACATTACGGTTTCACTATGTGCTCGAATGGGATTGGCGATGGCGTCTCTTGTCCAGGTCTATCGAGAAAGTAGAAGGTTGAGAGAGAGACAGGAAAGCAATGCGACGGGGCACGGCTCAGTGGCCACACATCGGAAGATTTCAGCATATTCGATGCATAGACGAGAGGCCAACCGAACCAACAAAAGTAGAATCCTGGAAATTGGGCCAAAGTCGAGAACATGTGTTGATTAAATCATATTGGTATGTAGGTGGTGGTGGTGCCCCTGGTTTGATGTGGTTGAGTTCGTCTCGTTGCGTGCCGTTGATGGCACTTCATGTCACTCGAGACGTCTGAGCGCACACGCTGTTGGGTTGCAGCCCGTGTTCAGAGATTGCCTTGACAGCTTGAGCCCCCGGCCACACTTGGCAGTCGTTGACAGTCGTTGACAGTCTTTTACGGTTCATGTCGGTCCTGGTCTATCGCCTGACGGACGGGCTACGGCGGAATGCGGGAGTGCCGTCGTTGTCTGTTGCAGTGTCTGAAAGTTCAGAAAACCCCAGAAAAGCTTCTGGTCTTGATGTCTTTTCCCCCGCCAACCAAAAGATTTTAGGGCCTCCGGGGGTTCAATCACGCAATTCGAGGGGCCTGTCTTCACGTGTGGACGGCAGCCACCCCCATCTTTTTCCAAAGTGACAAAAAGTTTTCTTGGGGCTGTGATTGGACAATGGCGGCTGGTCGTGCCGGTGGCACTGGCCATGCGTCGTCATTCAGAAGGATAAAGTTCGTCTTTTTTCCATGTCTCGGTCTCATCCGATCGCTTATGTCTCGACTGGATGCACTTCGGAAATGAATTCTGCATGGGCAATGATAACGACTTCAACATGTCTGGCTTCTGATATATCCTCAGACCATGTGTTTGCCAGCGCATCCTTTCTCATGAAAAATATCGCATCCTTCACCGACGGCAACATTGTCGACGATAAAATTCCACAATGCCAATCCCCGAATGGACGCCGCGCAAAGTGTGTCCGCTAGGCGGTCCACCATATTCGCCGTCTAGTGACTTGGCCGTTTGCAATCTGCCTTCAGTCCTTCACCATCACACAGCTTCACATTGACACTGGCTGTGTTGTCGTGTTAATCAAGAGCCTCAAGTCTTGTCTTCCAATGCCCAGCGACGCTATTTAAACCTGATCCCTTGGCATCTCGGACTCCCCCATCCTCCCGTCTTGACCACGTCGGTGATGTGGTTCGGTCGGATGCGATTTCCGAGGACCCACCTTTCTCTTCTCGCTACCGGCCGAGGAGAAATATTTCCAACGGTCGCGAACATTGTCTCGACAATCCAGAAGAGCCGATTGGAAGCGGGCGCAACATCAAAGATTGCGATTTATACGACGTGCGACTTTGGATGCTTGGCTTTTAATTCCATTCAAACATTCCAAATGCGTTGTCGCTCCTCTCTGGCACCGGACAACTTGGGTCTGGTCACTCTGGATGGACGCCAGCCGAGTGGTTGCACCTGAACACGAGCATCAACAACATGCCTCGAGTCCGGCTACACTCAAGTGATGTGTAGCACCGCGCTCCATTGCGGTGGTGATACACGGTATCTGAGGGCGGTCTCTTCACGGTAATATTGGCGATCGGAGACGATCAACAACCATTCGGCTCAAAGAGCTTTCATCTTTTGACCACAGTGTTGCACATCCACGTGGCTCTCAACCGTCACCAATGGATCTCGACTTGATGATAAACAGGGCCCTAACTTTATGCATGGACCAGCGATGCGAATACTTTCCTGGGTCTGCATTTGCTAACAACAGTAGAGATCCCACTCGATCTGGAATCAACAGCATCATGGACAACATTTAGCGCTTAGAGACCACGGCCGCAATCATGGCTCGCTCCTCCAATTGCCTTAGACGGAGACGATGAATGTCGCGTCTATGTTCTCTAATTGAGCTTTGGGTGTGTAAAAGTTGGATTTCGCAAAGTGGTGATGTCAAGGAGTGCAATCGCGGAGACCCACCGGTCACCACCATCGACTAGCATGATGATATCAACAACGAAACCGATATAAGAGACAGCAGTCGTGATCGAGGAGGCATGGTTGTTGTCTCAATCTCCATCTCATCCTACACCAGATTCTACCATCATCACAACCATGTCTTCAGTAAGCTTTTCCTCTTTTCCCCGTCCAAAATCCGCCCATACTTAGCTCTACGCATTACAAAACGACGCACCAGTTTACACACTCGCCGAGGGATGCCCCGTCCAGGACCCTTCGGCTGCCACTGTCCTCAGAGGTTCCAAGCCTCGCGGAAGAGCCCCCTCTCTACTCGAAGACACCCGGTTGATCGAAACCCTCGCACACTTCCCCCGAGAACGCATCCCGGAACGTGTCGTCCACGCCAAGGCAGCCGGTGCTTGGGGAGAGTTTGAGTGCACCGAAGATGTCTCCGACTTTACGTCCGTCAACTTCCTCAACAAGGTCGGAAAGAAGACCAAGGCCTTGTCCGCATTTCGACGGTAGCAGGCTAGAAGGGCTCTTCGGATACGGTTCGCGATATCCGCGGTTTCGCCCTCAAGTTCTTCACCGAGGAGGGCAACTGGGATTTTGTCGGCAATGACCTGCCCGTCTTCTTCATCCGCGACCCCGTCAAGTTCCCCAGTCTCAACCGATCCCACAAGCGTCATCCCCAGACCAACGTGCCCGACTCGACCATGTTCTGGGATTTCCACAACAACAACCAAGAAGGTGTTCACTGCTTGATGCAGCTCTTTGGCGGCCACGGCATTCCCGTCTCTCTCCGCAACGTCAACGGCTTTGGCAACCACACCTACAAGTTCGGCAAGTCTGAGGACGGCACCTTCAAGTACGTCAAGATTCACTTTAAGCCCCAAGACGGCATTAAGAATCTCGAGTCCGACGAAGCCCTCCGCCTGGCCGGCGAAGAACCTGATTACCACATCAAGGACATGTACAACACCATCGAGCTTGGCGACTACCCTGTCTGGACCATGTACTTCCAGGTCATGGATCCCAAGGATGCCGAAACCTACCGGTACAACATCTTTGACATCACGCAGACTTGGCCGCAGCGGGATTACCCTCTCCGACCCATCGGCAAACTCACGCTTAACAAGAACCCGGAGAACCACTTCCAGGATGTCGAGCAAGCTGCCTTTTCCCCTTCCACTATGGTTCCTGGCATTGGCCCTAGCGCAGACCCCATGCTCCAGGCTAGAATGTTCTCCTACCCCGATGCCGCCCACTACCGTGTCGGTCCCAACTATCAGCAACTCCCCTGCAACCGCGCCTTGCACGTGTACTCCCCGTACCAGCGTGACGGACCCATGCGGGTAGACGGTAACTACGGCGGCGACCCGGATTACGTTTGGTCCTCCTTCCGCTCCATGCGCCTTGGCCCCATGCGCCTTGGCCCTCCTGATGTCGCTCACGACGAATGGGCCGGTAAGGTCGCCTTGTTCTCCTCAGAAGTCACAGACCTCGATTTGAGCAACCCAGAGAGCTGTGGAAGATCTTCAAGGAGACCGGGGAGGACAAGCGGTTTGCCAAAAACGTGGCGGCGCATGTGGGTAAGGCATTGCCCGAGGTGCAGAAGAAAACCGTCGAGATGTTCAGCAGGGTTGATAAGGAGGTGGGAGAGGCTATCCAAAGGGAATTGGATGAGCTTGAGAAGCAGGGAGGTGCTGGTATTGAGCATGACAAGGCGCCAGTGACGGGGTAGGGAATGAGGTGCAAGGAGGATTCCAAGGACAGCAAGGAATGAGCGGTGGGTAGTCCAGAGGTTTGGTAATGAGTGTACGACCTGCGAATACGGTAGTGTTTGATGAATAATGCAGCGCATTTCATTTTTATTTCAGCTGTTTATTTGATTCGTTGTGCCTAAGTACAAGTAGCGCCGTGCTTTCTGGTCGTTCCTGCATGACGATGAATTGAGGCCGCCATGACACCAATCGTCCCCCGACTCGAAGGCAAAACGTCTTCCACGTTGCCGCTGGGCATTCCATTACAATCTTTTACAATTTTCTTGCTCGATCAACCAGTTCGCCATCTTCTCTGCATTCCTCTCCCGTGGGGTTTACTGACGTTGCTCCCACCACAGATTCCCCTCGCCAACATCACGATCAAACGCACCAATTTGTGTCTCTCCCGACAACGGCGCGAGCCTTAAACCAACAGAAATCGCCACGTCCTCGACAACCCGACGGTTATTAGCGACGTTCAATGTTCACTTTTATCATCGTGTGGGCACCACGTTACACCACCCCGCTCCGACGCCCTCCGACTCTCTCCCAAACTCCCCCAGGTCGTGGACCGAGACAGACAAGGCGACCTCTCAAAAGCCTGGATTGGATTCCATCCCGCCGGCTCACTACATACGGACTATTGATAGCTTAATGCAGTGTTCTGCGCCACGACGGCACATGATAGGCAAGGCTCGCCCCTCTCCCGTTCTGGCAAGATTGGGGGCCAGTTGGTTCATGACAACCTGGTCAACGTCGCGGTTTGCTGTGCCCCGGGTGCCACACCACGTGGGACACCGTCCATCACCGTTCAACTCTCACCAGGCGTTTCCGTCGACACGGCCCTAACATGGTCCAAAATGCACAAAGGCCGCTCAGCCCGTCGATTTTGCGGAGGGGAACTTGGCAGACACGAGAGGTTTGCATGCACGATTGCACCAAGTTGAAATGAGGGGTGGGGGAATATGGTGCTGTTTGCCTAACGTGCCAGCCCTACGAGGTATGTATATCTTCGACAGCGACATTCGCGGGCTTTCCATGTTCGCTTCAAGTCTTGACCAGTCATCAACAGAGACCCATCCAAAACACCATGTCGTCCCTGGGCTTGGCCGATCTTCTCGCCGGCCCCAGCGCCCGCGGGCTCCCGGCCGTCCTCCGAAATCTTACACTAAGCCATCTCAACGTCGAAAATAGCTGCCCAACAGCTTCACGGGTGCTCGCTGGTAACCAACATGCCATATCCAACGCATCTGTGCATGGGTATCTCCCCGCCTTGCCATTCATGGACGTCTTCTCGCTCCTACAGGACTGCGCCCCGACAGCAGTGGATGTCTCGAACTTCACATATGGCCAAGCAATCAACTGGTTCGTTTATCAACATACGTCAGATCCGAATGGCACCTTGTCGTTACTGGAAGACTTGAGGAACTCGACAGAGTGTCATATCGACTTTTGCAACAACCTGCAATGGGAAGGTAATCCTGATCTGTCAGGCATCGGTGTAAGTGTGCACGCCTCCCTTTCCCCCCGGACTCACACTTACCTCTATCGTCACAGGTCTACATCGTCTATATCCTTCAGATAGCCGTCACAGCCATTTTCCTCATCGCCCACATTGTCTTTTACATCCAAGATCGACTCTATTCGCGACGACATCCCGAAAGGGCTGGCAAGCCACCTCCATCCACCATTCGCAAAGCGGTCGACCAGTGCCTTGAAGCCTTTTGGATATCGACGTACATCTTCACGTTCGCCCTGGATATCGCCTCTTTGTCTCTAAATGTTGTCAACAAGGGGCCGGGTTCCGTTTACTCGGGTTACTTTAGCTTCTTGGGTGTATTGATCTCCGTTGCGGCCCTCATCTGCCTTTACCCCTGGTTCCCCGGCCGGCGAAAGTACCCAGTTCTCACCTTTGTGAGCATCTTTATTCTCTTCATCTTTATGGCGATTACCAGCTTCACCTTCTTCACTTTGGAAGATGAGCTATCTTATTTTGAGGAGTTCTGCCTGAGGAAGTATTGTCGGTCTACCCACCAGATCGAACATCTTCTCAAGGTTACCCCTTGGGTTGTAGCAGCAATAACTGTCTTCTGGGGCATTGTCATATGGTTCATCCACGTACTACGGGAACGGGACTCGCACATACTGAACGACTACAAGGTTGCTTCGGTCATCCATACACTGGGGGCCTTGCTCGTCACGGCAAGTTTTGGCGTGATGTGTACTGCGCTTTTCTATTTTCTCCATCTTCGGACGCGCACCGCTGAACTGGCCGGAGATTCGTATTCCGAGAATGAGTGGGGTTTTGGACAGATCTTGGCCTTGGTTGCCATGATGCCGCTGTTTGTACAGTTCTTTGCCATATGCTTAGGTGAGTTTTACTGTGTGGTATCTGCCATCTGGTTTGGGTTCGCAGCTAATATGGATGTCTCCAGTCAACATCTTGGAACGCTATAGGTTCCAACACCCCAAGTGGCATAAGCTCGTCAGTCCCACCAATCAGTCCGAGAAACGAAGAACCTGGCCAATCCGATCCCCGTCCGAATCCTCTGATACATTTTCCATGCTGAAACGGCCGACCCTACCAACAGTGGATGAAAAGTACGAAGAGGACTACGAAGGGGACATTGCTGCCGAGCCCAGAACTATCGAACAGATGGACATGATGTACATGGGGGATGATAAGCTGAGGGCCATGATGTATGGTCGGGATATGGTGTAGAGGGAGGTATGTGTGAGTGCACTCAGTAAATGATACCCTTTCGTCGAGATCTGTCGCTCGCGTTCCATTTGTGCCTTTCCAATTCCCATCATGATCTTTACCATCACAGAAATCCTTCATCCGCCTGCTGTGTCCGTTGTTTGGTCACCTGACTTGAGGTGATATCGCTCCGGACGTAGTACTCGCAAAGCATCCAGCCAAAAGCGTGTTTGGCGTCAACGGTGTCGATCCTAGTACTTGGCTCCAAGCCGTTAGGTCGTTGTTGTTACTACCCAGACCCGTGCAGATAGCGGGGGCTGTGTTGGATATAGGAACAAAGAACCAGTCACCGCCCATTGCTCAAGGGTATTTCCTGTGCCTCGCCCTAGTTTCAGCCGCACTTGTCAAGCTGTCAATCACGCCGCAAACGTTACCCGTGCCACTATATGTAAGGTAAGAATGCCCTTCTTGGCTTAGACCACGGCTAGATACACCTTCATATGTTTGGCTGCCCCATACCAACTTGCAACGGGGTTTCGTCTACAGTCACAGGGTGTTCCAGTCTCCATCATCAGAGAGTACCATCTTTATCCAGTCCAATCCGCAGCAACATATATCTCCCATACCAAACGTACGACAATTAGTGGCCGGCGTCTAGCCTTTCAATCGAAACTAACAACCCGTCCAGATTTGACCGAATCACAAAATATCTCCCAAAAATGGCCGGCCGCACTTGCATAAACAACACCCTCCCCGGAACATTTGACCGCGGCTCCGACTCGGGCCGTAACTTCTTCGCTAACCCTAACCCAGTTTCCCAGAATCCTTCGCGGGCATGACAGAATGCTGCAAGCCCAACAAGCTGCAGGTCAGCGGCGAGGACGAATTCGAAGAATTGCATCTTGTTGTGTGTGATTCCGAACGCGATCCTCAAGCCGGATGGACAAACTTGGGGGAAGAGGACGAGGTTCTTGATGCTGTCAAGGACTGTGTTGAGGAAAAGGGCGGCTTTGCGAATGGGACCTCTAGGGAATATATTTCGAGTTGGCGGGTGAGGGGGGACGCGGCGGCGGCGGCTAGTTCTATGATTGGGATTGGGATGGGTAGCGCTACGTCTTTGCTTGGGGTTGGGGTTTGGGGTTTGGGGGTTGTTGGTTTAAACCTGAACTCTGAAGAGGTGATTTATGTTTTGGGGAAGCTGTTCGGAGCCCCTGACTGTGTTTTGTTTGTATACTGGTATGTGTTTTATTATGCTATGGAACCTTGAAAACATAATCTGAGGCCATCACGTCCTAGAATCACATACATAATCCCCTTTGTCTTGGAGCGGGGGAACAATTTCTTAAACAAGACACTACGCGGAGAGAGAGAGAGAGAGTGTGTGTGTGTGTGGAAGGGATACTTGATGTCGAATGTCGCACCTAGGTAGTAGCATGGCGCACTTTACTGGAGTGTTAGGTCATGCAGAAACAAGGAACTCCGTGGATTACCGTACACCATACAACACACGACAGGGTCGGTCAGGTCATCAATCTGGAGAAGAGAAAAAAAGGTCGTTAATCATTAGGGGTGGAGAGTGTCGTTCAGTAACCTATCCCTCCCCTCCACTCGTCCCAATCCGACGTCTTAACCGTTTTCCACTTCCCAACATAATGGTCCTTCATGTTCTCCCCACAAGCGTTGTACGTGATAGCACTCATCGTGTCCGTTCGAAAACGATTCATCACCCTAGCCATCTCCTCCTCACTCATTTTCCCATCATATCTCTTTTGCACATCGGCTACGGCGGCGTAAAGAGCGTTTTCGCCAGGCACGATGGAGCGAGACAAAAGATTTCCACATTCAGTGCTTCCAGGGAGAAGCCACCCACTCTTGTCTACCGCTTGAACCAAGAACTCCCCCATCTTCTGCAACGCGCTGTTTGTTGCGTCACCATGGAGTTGCTCCTTCACGTCCTCGGTGATCCTGTCCCGCACTTCGTCCCTGATGTTTTCCTCCCACTTCCTACCCGTCCTTCGGTGCAGCGCGTCAAGCTGATGGGCTACCTCACGGTCGACTTGCTCTCCGACTTCCGTCCTGACCCAGTCCTCCAGCTTGAAGCTATGTTTAAGCCGCACTTCAAGGGCTGCAGTATGGGCGAGGAGCTTTTGGTGATGTTTCTAAGGGCCGTATCGCGGCTGAAGGCCTCTTCGATGACCTTTGAAGGGTTGGTGTGGATTTCCCAAAAGTCGAGAGCAGTGGTTGTTGTTGTTGTTGTT